ATCATCATCATCAGGTGTGAAAACCACAGCAAGAAAATTTGAAAAAAGTGGCGGTTATTTTTAACGTTAGCACCACGGACAGCGATTTGGCAGTTATTCAGATGGACGAGTCCATCTATGTTCGGAAAAGAGGAGGGGGGGAGACGAAAAATAATGGTTGCGGTCTGAAAGCCACCGTAAGCGTGAACAATCAATTAAGACCCGAAATCGTTTATCAAATCCTTCCAATGATTGCCAAGCCAGAATCCATCTTCTCGGTTGAAATTGTCTCTGTGTTTATATATGTGGATAGCCTCATGAACGAATCTCTCGTGGTAGCCAGATGGCTTGCAGAGAACCTCTGTCTTGGAGAAGTCAATGTCATCTAGTCTAGGAATTCCCCAATCCCAGTGGAACACCTCATTGTGACGCTTTTTTTCTCTTCCCAACAGGCCGTGTGTGCATGTTTGTGCACGACGTTCAATCCCTTCAATGTATTTTCATGGACGGTGTTGGCGAGGATAGAACACTTGCTTGCTTGTGTCAGGGTGTGCGGAATACAATGGGGAGGCGGTGGTGTGCCAACACCGTCAGTGACGATTATCTGAACCGGTCCTGGGCCTCCCCCAAGGTCCACTCAGTCTCAAACGAGTACCTGGTGTAGCGGTGTGCGGTAAACACCGCCACTGGGGAGACAAAGGCGGCCAGGTGTGGTGCTGGCCACCCACCCACTCGTGTGCCGTTCCGACCTTCATAGGTGCTCGCTAACAGTCTGTTAAGGCTATACGGAGGGGGGAGGGAGAGGGATCTTCGTTCTTTGGAATGCAGTGTGGCATGCCGTGATGACGTTAAGCATCACAACAGACCCACCCAACAGGGTAACGCAGCTACTATAATGGGGTTACACGGTTGTAATGTAAACCAACACACACGGTACAAACTTCATAAGGGCTGCTGAAGCATGGTTGCAATAGTATCGTATGGCACACTGTAGCATTTTACCATGGCAAGTTGTACGCATACTGTAGTCGTAAATCAACACGGCTGGTTAAAGGGGTGTAAACACAAGTTCAGTGTACTGTAGTTGGTGATGCATCATTAATGGTTGCAGATCAAAGTTGTTATTGTTTTTTTAATATGCCAATCGCATGCGTGTTGCTGTGTGAGTAAATTCTGGCTGAGTCAACCTAGGAGACAGCCTCACCATTGAACTCACGGAATTTATGGCGAAGCAATGGAATTGTTCTAACTAAAAACATTAACCATGACAACAACTGCCTTGTGACACAATAAAAACAAACAATCCTTCCTCATTTTGGCCAACTCTGTTGAGTGCATTAAAACAAAAAGTACAATTTAAAAAGGGAGGCTTCTTAAAGTTCTGAAGAATAAACCAAAATAGCTAAGATACTGTAACACGCAGCGAACACTACTTTGGCAGGGCATAAGGGCTAAAGTTGTTTACATTTATAGAGAAATATCTGCAACCTCGTGGACCGACACATTCTCAATGACAATGGGAATTGTATATTCAACTACTGTGCAGTAAAATTTTGATTTAAAGCTTTCGTGACTGCAGGGATTCATATTCTTGGTTCTTTCGGTAACGTCACCACGTAGAAGGGAAACAATAAAATAAAATATATATTTTTTTATCTTTTATAGGGAAACAATAAAATAATAAAACATATTTTTTATATTATATTTTTTATAAAAATTATAATAAAAAATATTTTTTATAATAAAAAATATTTTTTATTATTTTATAGGGAAACAATAAAATAATAAAGATATATTTTTTTTATTCTTTTATAGGGAAACAATAAAATAAAAAATATTTTTTGGATTATTTTATTGTTTCCCTTCTACGTGACTTTACCGAAAGAACCAAGAATACTGTGCAGTACTTAATAACCTGTACAGTGTGTGTACAGTGCTGGCCTTAACCTAAAGTATAACGCTAAAGCAATGTTTTAAACATTGCTCCCCTTGCACGAGACAACCTGATGATGATCCTTGCACTGTGCCATCAAAACAATGTGCCGATCCACAATCCACTGCTGGATGAGTGCCTCTTGCCCACCCACCCACCAACGCCGTGCGGGTCGTGGTGGGTATTTGACCATACTTCACCACGATGGTCACTGTGGATGGAAGGCCGAGTTAGACCCCCCCCCCCCCCCACATATTCAACTGTACAGTATTTACAAAAGTGATGGGTTGCGACAATCAGGTCTATGAAGGAGTGTGTGTCTGTGTGTGTACAGCAGTACTGAATGCTTTAATAAACTCCAAAACAAACTTTATTTCCTAGAGCACTATTCGTGCAAACAAAAAAATTGCAATACGCAGCCCTTTGCCAGGCACGAGCAATGAAAATTGTAATTGTGAGAAAAATAAAAGCACCTTGTAAACTGTAACATATGCGGAGCCTCTGGGCTACTTACCGGACTGAATGAGTGAATGAATATGACCTTCCGCCCGGTCCCATAATTCAACGTGGCATGTGTTTGTTGTTAAGTGTCAAAGTGAACGAGACAAACGATAGCGAGATTTATCCATGAGACGTTTTTTTTGTTCGGGTTATATCGCGTAAACATTAATGTTGTGTCGTTTAAACCAGCCACCACCCCGACAGCCAATTGGTTAAGTTTTTTTTTGTTTTAAATGTGGCTATTCGTTTGCGTTTCTCTCGTTGTGACTGGATGTTGTAGGAGGAATGTTGATATTCATAGGGTACACGGGGTGACCAATAAGGTCTGAATTGGTCTGTTATAAGTTTGGGCACTGATAACGGGGTTGACTGCTATGTAGTGGTGTAATGTATAGTAATGTATAGTGTAATGTATAGAAGTGTATAGTGTAGTGTATAGTAGTGTATAGTGTAGTGTATTGTGTAATGTATAGTGGTGTATAGTGTAGTGTATAATGTAATGTATAGTAGTGTATTGTGTAGTGTATAGTGTAGTGTATAGTGTAGTGTATAGTAGTGTATAGCAGTGTATAGTGTAGTGTATCGTCGTGTATAGTGTATAGCAGTGTATAGTGTAGTGTATAGTAGTGTATAGCAATGTATAGTGTAGTGTATAGTAGTGTATAGTGTAGTGTATAGTGTAGTGTAGTGTATAGTAGTGTATAGTGTAGTGTATAGTGTAGTGTATAGTAGTGTATAGCAGTGTATAGTGTAGTGTATAGTGTAGTGTATAGTGTAGTGTATAGTGTATAGCAGTGTAGTGTATAGTAGTGTATAGCAGTGTATAGTGTAGTGTATAGTGTAATGTATAGTAGTGTATAGCAGTGTATTGTGTAGTGTATAGTGTAATGTATAGTAGTGTATAGTGTAGTGTATAGCAGTGTATAGTGTAGTGTATAGTAGTGTATAGCAGTGTATAGTGTAGTGTATAGTAGTGTATAGCAGTATAGTGTAGTGTATAGTGTAATGTATAGTGTAATGTATAGTGTAGTGTATAGTAGTGTATAGTGTATAGCAATGTATAGTGTAGTGTATAGTAGTGTATAGTGTAGTGTATAGTAGTGTATAGTAGTGTATAGTGTAGTGTATAGTAGTGTATAGCAGTGTATAGTGTAGTGTATAGTGTAGTGTATAGTGTAGTGTATAGTGTAGTGTATAGTGTAGTGTATAGTGTATAGCAGTGTAGTGTATAGTAGTGTATAGCAGTGTATAGTGTAGTGTATAGTGTAATGTATAGTAGTGTATAGCAGTGTGTATTGTGTAGTGTATAGTGTAATGTATAGTAGTGTATAGTGTAGTGTATAGCAGTGTATAGTGTAGTGTATAGTAGTGTATAGCAGTGTATAGTGTAGTGTATAGTAGTGTATAGCAGTATAGTGTAGTGTATAGTGTAGTGTATAGTGTAATGTATAGTGTAATGTATAGTAGTGTATTGTGTAGTGTATAGTAGTGTATTGTGTAGTGTAATGTAAAGTAGTGTATAGCAGTGTATAGTGTGGTGTATAGTGTAGTGTATAGTGTAGTGTATAGTGTAGTGTATAGTGTAGTGTATAGTGTAGTGTATAGTGTAGTGTATAGTGTAGTGTATATTAGTGTATAGTGTAGTGTATAGTAGTGCATAGTGTAGTGTATAGCAGTGTATAGTGTAGTGTATAGTGTATTGTATAGTAGTGTATAGTGTAGTGTATAGTGTAGTGTATAGTAGTGTATAGCAGTGTATAGTGTAATGTATCGTAGTGTATAGTGTAGTGTATAGTGTAGTGTATAGTGTAATGTATCGTAGTGTATAGTGTAGTGTATAGTGTAGTGTATAGTGTAATGTATAGTAGTGTATAGTGTAGTGTATAGTGTAGTGTATAGTAGTGTATAGTAGTGTATAGCAGTGTAGTGTAGTGTATAGTGTAATGTATAGTAGTGTATAGTGTAGTGTATAGTGTAATGTATAGTAGTGTATAGTGTAGTGTATAGTGTAGTGTATAGTAGTGTATAGTGTAATGTATAGTAGTGTATAGTGTAGTGTATAGTGTAGTGTATAGTAGTGTATAGTAGTGTATAGTGTACTGTATAGTAGTGTATAGTGTAGTGTATAGTGTAATGTATAGTAGTGTATAGTAGTGTATAGTGTAGTGTATAGTAGTGTATAGTATATTGTATAGGATGAACGTTGGCATCTATAAAGGGCACGGGGTAACCAACGTGGCGGTGGTTGACTAACACACGTGGACACACACACACACACGGCTGTTATGAGTGCCCGATCTTATTACAGAACTTCGTGGTTCACCGCCACCAAAGTGGCCCGGAGATGATTATCTGAACCGGTGCCGGTGGGGAGGGGAGGGGACTCCCACCCCTAGGTCGACTCGGCCTCAAAATGCGAATCAGGCCATGGGGGTGCGATCAGCACGGCGCGGAAGAAGTTCAACGCATGGGCACGCACACATCGCCACCGGGGATACAAAGGCGACAGGGGTGGTAGGGGTGGTGGTGGTGGTGGTAGTGGGGTCTGTTTGAAGGCTGCTCACACGATGGGCCGTCTTTGTCTCACCTGCGGCGAAGGACAGCACGGCGGCCAGTCCGAGTAGCAGCAGCAGGAGGCGGCGCGCGTCGGCCACCACCACCATCATCACCATCGTTATCGTCGTCTCGAACGCTTCCCACGCCCCTCCTCCTCCTTCTTCTTCTTCTCCTCGTTGCCTTCGAAGCTTTCACAGGCAGCCGTGTGAAGTCGCTCCGTCCTCTTTAACCCAAGCACACAACAACAAACCCTCTCTCTGTCCCTCTGTGTGCGTCCACTGAGTGAATATCGGCTCCGGCGACAACACGAAGCAGGCTGACTTGGTGACAGTGACGACCATCGGGGTTCAAACACAGCCCGTCCGGGAACATATCCCGACGGTGGTGAAGGCGTCACACAACGTGTGCGGCAAAATGTTCTCGCTTCCTTAGCCAAGGGCCCCTCCTACTCCTCCTACTCCCTCCTCCCCCTACTCCCTCCCCTCCCTCCTCCCCTCCCTCCCTCCTCCCCTCCCTCCTTCCCTCCCCCCCTCCCTCCCCCCTCCCTCCTCCCCTCCCTCCCCCTACTCCCTCCCCTCCCCCTACTCCCTCCCCTCCCCCTACTCCCTCCCTCCCTCCTCCCCTCCCTCACCCCTCCTCCCTCCTCCCTCCCCCCCCTCCCTCTCCCGCCCTCCCCACCTCCTCCCCCCCTCCCTCCTCCCCCCTCCCTCCTCCCCCCTCCCTCGTCCTCCCTCCCCCCCTCCCTCCTCCTCCCTCCCCCCTCCCTCCTCCCTCTCCCTCCCCACCTCCTCCCTCCTCCCCTCCTCCCTCCACCCCCCTCCCTCGTCCTCCCTCCCCCCCTACCTCCTCCTCCCTCCTCCTTCGCCCCTTGTCCCCCCCTCCCTCCCCCTCCGTCCCCCCCTCCGTCCCCCCCTCCCTCCTCCTCCCCCTCCCTCCTCCTCCCTCCCCCCCCTCCCCCTCCCTCCCCCCCTCCCTCCTCCTCCCTCCCCCCTCCCTCCTCCTCCCTCCCCCCCTCCCTCCTCCTCCCCCCTCCCTCCCTCCCCCTCCCCCCCTCCCTGCCGCGTCCTCTGGAAACCCCCGTCGCCGCTGGGGTCACGCCAGTAGACCCGCCCCACGCCCCGTAGGGAACTCAACAAAATTCGGTTTCTGATGCCACTGACTACCGCTACGACAACAACACGTGTGTGTGTGTGCGTGCTGTTGACCTGCACGTCAAACACCTGCTCAATACACTGCTGACGAGACACTGTGCCTTTGTATGCAAATACATCCGTATAGTATTTTTATACGGTTCAAGCAGAGATGTGTTAGCGAGAACTTTTTTTTAATTTTTACAGTATCAACATGATGGACAAAAATGAGAATTGGCTTGAGGTCAATCTAGCTTTGACGTTTTCGTGACTGCAAGGATCCATACTCTACGTGACTTTACCTTTTTCTGGCAATAAAACACAAGATCTTCTGAACACCGAATACGGTCAGTTTAACACGTAGGCTTTCGCGACCAGTATTATTCATAATGAAGGTTTTTGGGTTAGTTCGCGTTATTTATAAATGTGTCGCAACCCTCCACCACCCGACACGGCCAATCAGTAAAAAGTGTCACGTTAACAAAATGCCAATTACCGTAGTTACTTCTTCAGCCCACCGGTGTGTTTGAAGCAAGGCCATAATTATAATATATATTGGGGGGGGGGGGACATATCCCCCCCCCCCCCAATATTCAAATATGCTCAAAATGCCCCCCCCCCCAATATATTGCTATAAAATTAGACAGGAAATTCGTTTTCAAGTTTATATTTTTTTCTGGGAGGGGGGCCCCCAGACCCCCTGGAAGATTTGGTCCCCCCCCCAAATGTCAACTCCATGGCTACGGCCTTGGTTTGAAGAGTGAATCCACAACATTTAGAATACGGTGTTTCGAACACAGTAGTGTTCATGTTGATGCCTCTTGCATCATCAGTCTGCATTAATCAGACATTCCAGTGGCAAAGCACGCAAACAAACATGCTCTGATAATAATGTGTGCATTTAGAAACTCATCGGCCTACACCAGAGACAGTCTTCTTTATGGCCTTCTCACTAGTGTGAGACCGAAGACAATGCACATATGATCAGATAATGTTTGTTAGCACGTTTTTCCACAAATATGCGTAGTTAATGCAGACGTCATGCCCTGAAATAGGTATTTATTTGGTGTTTCAACATCTTAATACCTGTTTTATTGCCAGAAAGGGTAAACGCCTATTTTTTTTCATAAGAACTATATTCCGTGTCTCCACGTACTCATCTTTGTTTTATTAATTAATTCCCTCCAGTCTATGTGTTGACTCACCAGACCAACAATAGTTATTCAGCAGCTGCATCCTCTGATATGCTTTAATATAAACGGGCATTAGTCAGTAATTAACCTGGCTTCATTTCATCACGGTACAGTAGTGTCATGTTCAGATCTCAAAAGCTAAGCTTAAGCAGTATGAGACCTGGCGAGTGCTATTTGTGAGTGAACCAATATGCACCAAAGCAGGTGTTGTAGGCTGCTTCGGTGCTACGTTGTTGGAGGACATCGCAGAAAAATCCATTGCCCTGTACTTCTACGCTCCCCGACCTTCACCGCTGACCAGCGTGGCCAAGTACGGTCCAAACATCCATCACGACTCACAACGGTGTAGACAGGTCCTCAATCCAAGAGTGGTGTCACAAAGTGGCTTTCCTCTCACACACCACTTATGTCGTATGGCGGCATTGTTGCAAAGATACACTGAGTGTGTGCGCTAATTATTTGCTTTGGTGCTGCCCAGCAATGGTCTTGATGGACAGGAGATGCCCAGTAAACATCCCAATATGTGTTTGGCCCTACAAGGAACCGTCGTTAGGCCAACATTCCATGTTTACTTGTAGAATATTCCATTTATTTTCTTCATTGCACACACCAAATGTCCATTCGTGATGTTGGCTAAATATCCCAATGGAGGATCCTCCGGACAGAGTCTTGAGACTGAGAGTTTTTTCTGGATTAAACAAAGGGCATGCCAGTAGGGCATCATTCCCTTTCACAATACTTTACTGTATACTAAAGCCAATGTCCCCACGCTCAAATTCGTATGGGGGTGGCGCTGATGATTTCTGTTGGTCTTGCGAAAGTTATGGAAATTCCACTGCTGTGGTGGGGACCCATCTAAAAAACAACTTCTCTAATTGTTGGCTTCAGATAATGAATGTAGTGCAGTACCCACTCTATTTGTATATTCCTATTGGCTGAATAAAATAAAAAAAAACAGTAGCGTAGTGACATCGCAGGATGTCAATGTGCAGTGCCGGCCCAAGAAAGGCACGGCGTGTGGTGTAACGACATCGCGGACACCACAGTGGTGTGGGTGTAGTAACGGTCCTAGAGAGTCACGGTGAGCGCTGATTGACAGCGCTGGATGGCACCACGCTTGGCGTGCAGTGCCAGCCCCTACAGGACAGGGTGTGTGGGTGCCGGCCGAGGGATGAGGTTACTCGAGGCCATGGCACTTTGGTGGACCAGGGAGAACACGTGACCAGTTAAGTCTACAAAGGGCCCCCAAGTGGGGGCTAGGGGTGATCACGTAGTTGGGACCCAGATCCTTCCCAAGGGTTCTAGAAAGTGGTCGTGGCCAAGGGCGAAGCCGGCCACGCCGCAGATAATATAAGCCGGGTCCCGAGAGGGACCGGGGTTGTTGTTCATTCTGGAAGAAACCCTTCGTCTGAGTTCTCCGTTTAACGAGTCTCCAACACGTGGACCCGGACCGAAGCTGTTGGTCCCGGTCCGTAGTAGCTAGTTACGTTGTAATTAGTGTAGTTAGCCTGGTGGTCACCACCATAGGTTGTTATTCTGTCAAGGGGAAAGTCACCCCGTGTGTTGGAGTTAAATAAATGTGTTGCCTGCAAGTCTAAGTCTGCGACTCAGTTGAACTCACTACAATAGTATAGTTACCCAAGCAGGATGTTGAAATACTGCAAAACAACACAATTAATTGTCATAGGCATTAATTAATTAATTGAAATTCCACATTTCTGTGACAGGAGTCATGTCCTCTTGATAAGTACAATACTGTTATAGTACTGTACTAGCTGTCAATTATTACTCAATGATCAAAATGTGACATTTACAAAGTCGCTCAAAGTGTCCCCACTATGTAGACTTAAGAAACATGTACTTTGTGATACGAGTGGGCAGCTTTTCATAGACGACTCACTCTTAGGTGTCTTGAATGGTACCTAGAACGTGACAATTACGTGTATAGTATACCCAGCAGTTTATTATATGACACGGGAACCCCCACGGTTAGTCGCGTGTGGTAGTGGGGTAAAGTGTGGGCACTCCCATCTCTTCCAAGACGTTTGTTCAGAGTGGAACAGTAGGCCAAATACCCTATAGAGGGGCTCTTTAGAGCTCCATCTTGTGGAGTCCCTTTCGTCAGCAGTGGCGTGAGAAGGCAATTGCAAGGAATTGCGCCTTTATCTACACAGCGTTATAAAAACTGAACAGTATTTACAAAAGTGATCGGTTGTGACAATTTAATTGCACAGGTCCAATGTGTGCTCGTTTACAACTAGGATAACAAGGCAAGGTGTGTGTGTGTGTACAGTACTGAATAATGTTTTAACAAACTGGAGCCATGTAGAGCCTCTGAGCTACTTTACGGCCTCAATGAATGCATATGACCTCTCGCCCGGTCTTATTGTTCAATGTGGCATGTGTTTATTGCAAGTGTCAGGATGGACGAGACAAACGATAGCGATATTCATATTCTTGGGTCTTTCGGTGAAGTCACGTAGATAGGTTCAAACTAAATAAATAAATAAAATAAACTACGACGTTTTGATTGCGACACAAGCAATCGTCATCAGGAGAAAAAATAGCGGGAAAGCTGCTGAGGCAGGATGTTTTAAAGGTTTAAAATGGGTGTAGCCCAAGGGTCGTAAGCGAAGTGGGCAGGGGCTAGTGATGTTAAAGTGAAAGATTAGCATGTCAATGTAAGATCGGAGAGCCACCGCCACATCGAGGAAAACGAGCAACGGTGACTGTGTTGGTGAGACATTTAACCTGTTAAAATAACTACTAACATTAGAAGGTAGGATGGAAACATCACAGCCAGTTATGACTTAAACTGGTTAATAACGTCATTCCAATGATTGCTCAGTTTGCACCCATAAAGCTGCTGAGGCAAGATGTTTTAAAGGTTTGAAATGGGCGTAGCCCAAGGGTCGTAAGCGAAGTGGGCAGGGGCTAGTGATGTTAAAGTGAAAGATTAGCATGTCAATGTAAGATCGGAGAGCCACCGCCACATCGAGGAAAACGAGCAACGGTGACTGTGTTGGTGAGACATTTAACCTGTTAAAATAACTACTAACATTAGAAGGTAGGATGGAAACATCACAGCCAGTTATGACTTAAACTGGTTAATAACGTCCTTCCAATGATTG